GAGGGAGGGGCTGAAGAGTTGTGACGGGGTGTGAAGTGCAGGGTCACATCAGAGCAAAGCGTGGGCGGGATAGATGGAGTGCGTGTACTGTGGTGTTAGGGCGAAGTGGAGGGCTGTTAAAAGGCAACGACTGATTCCCGAGTAGGAGCTGGCTGTACAAACTGGTGTCTGTAAGGTCCTTGGTTTCGCAATCATGGTGTACCACTACAGTAGTAGTCGTTGAGAGAGTAGAAGTATACCTTCTTTTTACATGGTGTACTGAGGTTTGGAGAACACTTGATGATTAAAGTTGGCGGGTTTTGAATCAATGCTTCGCCTTTAGAGAGATTTTGTGTGGTCGTTGATTTTTATTTGGGTCTGTTTTTTCTCTCTTCTGCACTGGTGGTTGTTGCGACTGTTGTGATGTTTGCGAGGCTCACACGCTGAGAGGGGTAAGGGGGGGAGTGGATCGATGTTTTTATTTCTTTGGTGCTTCGGGTCGTTCCAAATGTGAAATTCTAATTGTCCTGGAAAGCAACTAGGCGAGTTTGCGAGCCATCCTAATTTGATTACGACATGATTGTCTGTGAGGGCGAGCCAGCCAATACTTGAACGGCATTATGGAGTATTTTTTCTGACCCGCTATCTTCACTTTCGAGCAGTGATCAACCTAAACGAGGAAATCTTTGTCGTAGATATGGGACCATTTTGAGATTGTCGTTGGCTGCCCACTGTGCGTTGAATGCTTGTTGGACAATGCTTAAAATGTGAATTTGTAAGCTCAATTGACCTTAAGTGGTGCACTTGCCTTTCACCTTGAGGTTACCTAGAAGATTGATATGGGTGGCCATGCTATGTGCAACTAGATGTAAACATTACACAATACATGAGCATTGATCCAGCATAACATCATGGTCTACAACTGCTCCAAAGTGCTAAAAGATTTGATGCTTTGGATTGCAGATGAAAAACAATCATTTGGTGTCATTGAAAAACTATAATTCAAAAATCTTTGGCGGATTTTGAATCCGCCTAAGACACTATGTTGACACTACAAAGTCTTGCATCATTGCATATCAAGGAGGGTGTTGAAGAATGAGTTTATTGGCACAAGCTCAAAATTCTCAGCTATTTTCAGCTAGATGATATCATGTCTCATTTTGAGCTCACTTTGGATTGCTGATTGTTGAGTGTGTTAAGTGGCTACATTGCCATCACCATTCATTTGGTTAATAAAGATTGGAACTTGTATTTTGCAATGTTGGCATTTAAATATTTTCTATCTGAACATAACTCTACAACTGCAAGTGATATTGTGAATGATTTGCTATAGGAGTTTGATGTTTTGATGCAAATTATGGATATTACCATCAACTATGGCCCAAAGATGCAATGAAACAATTAGGAGAGTATGTGAACAATAAACATCTTCATTCAGTCTATTAGAATTTTCATATTTGTTACATTTGTCACATCATCAACTGCACCATGAAGGATGCAAAGTCATGCAAAGAAAAATGTTGTAGATTTGCTACAATGGTGCGATGTTGCTTGAATTCCATGTAATCTAAGTTAACTTGGATTGCACAAATATTGTTTAGGCTATTGTTAAGATTCAATTGCAACAAAGAATGGAACTAATAGTTTGCCATGGTGGACGATTTCTACAAGCTACATGATGTTTTCAAAGCTCTTTGCAACATAGACATGTTCTTTGTTCCAATGTCTAGTTGCTTTGTTTATTAATTTAAATGACATGCACTCTAATTTGCTTATGATTTTCTTTGAATCGTCATTGTCATATATGATCTAGCCTCATCAAAGTTTTACATTCCTATATTTGTATAGCACATAATTTTTAATTTTAATTTTATTTAAAATAATGACACATTTAATTGTTGTTCAATTGGCTTTACAATGCCACAATTAAAGACAATAGCTATTGCAATGAAAATAAAACTTCTGAACTATAAGGGATACTTACTCAATTTCTTACCTAAGCTAACTTTGTTTTTGGATCCAATTCAAGATAGGTCTCACTTGAATGTTGAGATGATTGTAAATACTATGCAATAGCATCTTTGTCAGGTATAAAAGGTACAAATAAGCACTAATTGATCTTAGAAGTGCAAAAAAGTCTATAGAACATAAGTCACAACAAACTATTGATGGAAAAACAAGATCAAGATAAAAATCAAGATGAGGTTTCTTACTAATTGCAAATCAATAAAGACATTAATCATAATAAAATTCTAAAGAAGCAATGCACTTTTGTGGGATTTAAAGATAAAAAGAAAATAAATCAAAGATAGATATTAGAAGAAAATTAAAATAACTATTGCTAAATATAAATAGATTAGAGATTCTTGAATTAAGTTAAGAATACAAGAAAGGCATTGTCAAGAATGAAGAAGGCTTAATTCTTGCCTCTATGTATATTATCTAAGTAAGAAGCTATTATTAAGGACATGAATCACAAAAAAAAAATGTATTAATATACTTTTGTGTAATTAGAAAGAGTAGATAATTATTCAAAGATTATATAATATTAAACTAAAATGACTATTGCCATAGACAAGAAAACTAGAAACTCTTGAAATGAGATTAAAGACAAGAAAAGCATTGACAAGAATAAAGAATGCTTCACTCTTACTTTTATATATACTATCTAACTACAAGCTATATTTTTTTATTATAATATGATTATATGGTGAATCTAATTGAAAAATATAGTAAAAAAAATATATATAAAAGATAAGAAGGTAATAAAAATATTTAGTATTTATATTTTTTTTAATGAAAAGACTTCAATTTATTTTTTATAGCCATAAAAATAAGAAAAAATAAATAGATTAAAAAATAATAAATATCTTTAAGAAATAGTTAATAATATTTTGTACAAAAATAACCTTAAAAAAGTTATGAATTGATACTTGAAAGAAACTAGTTGTGAACCAAGATTGGAATTAAATCTTAAGGTACCAATTTGAGCATCTATAGCAATTTTGGAAATTTTTTACTAATCCAAAAGTAAGGATAGGATTGAAACTTTAAAAGAATTTTTTTAGTATTGATTTTGAGTAAATTAGATTATTTTTGAATGTTTGAAAGTTTTTCAAAGTCAAAGATGATTTTGGATGTTGAAAAATTTTAAAAAATATATATTTTTTGAAAATTTTGTAATTTTGAAAGAAATAGATGGATGAAATTGTATAAGTTTGTAAATGTGCTTGTCATAAATGTGTCGTAATATAGTATCAATCAAATAGTTAGATTAAAGTCTATTAGAATTTGATTAGATTAAGATCTTACATATTTGATATTTAAGATTAGAATAATTTTATGTGATTTTGAGTTGTTTGTTGATTTTATTGAAGCAAAATTTTATGAAATTATAGTGATCTTAGGTTTTTATAATTTTTTCAATTTAGAGGACTATTGAATAGATCAATTAGAAGTAATTATTGCTAGAATATTAACATCAAGGTTGGAGAACAAAGATGGTTAATACTTAATAACATAAAGAACTCTTTTATGCAATTAGTAAGTTTAATTTTTCTCAAACTTTATCTATGTGTGTGTGTATTTTTTTTCTTAAAAATTGAAATATGTGAAAAGTTTTATTTAAGATCAATAATTTGATTAATAATTATTAAAAATTTAACACTAATACATGGATTTATTAAGGATTTGTTTAGAATTTATTTAGAAATCAATAAAAATTTAAGTAGGTTTTTTTTGGAATTTTATTAAGATTTTATAAGAACTTATTTAGAATTTGATTAAGATTAAGTTAAGATTTATTTAAAATTTTGTAAGCTTAAATTATAATTTTTTATGGTTTTTTTTAAAAAAATCTTTATAGCTTTTTTATTTAAAATTTTTTTTAATGATTTATTTTATGGTTTTTTTGGTTTTTTACAAATTTTTTTAGAGATTCTTTAAAATTTATTTATAATAATTAAGATTTGATTAGAATTATTAAGGTTTAATTGGAATTTATTTAAGATTTTATTACAATTATTAAGAGATTATTATTGTAATTTTTGATTTACCTTCTGTGATAAAGTATCCAATTCATTCTCAAACAAGACATGTTATGCAAGAATGTAACAATATTGTATAGGACCTTTGACACGTGTCTAACTTACAAGATAATTTTTTATATATATAAACAATATAGCCAAATTATATTATAAGTCACCAACATACATGATACATGGTTAATTTTTTGGGTAAGTTTTCAACCTATTAATCACCTACAAATATATATAAAATCAAATCTCCATCTAAGAAGCTTTTAAGAAGCTTTTCCACAAGATATTATCAAATCTACTTACTTCTATTTAAATCCTAAAATATACTTAAATATGTATAATTTTGATATTATTCTTTCTTCTAAAGATAGCTTCTATAAAGAGTGGTGAATATATCTTGAAGCAGTCCAAGATGCAACAAATTAAATTTGTGACATATTCTAATCTTAGTTCCCTTTAAAGTTAGTTGATAGGTCTTTTCAACCATCAATAGTGTCTCATACTAAGATAAAAAGGATTTCCTAATATTTGATCATTCTTAAGGCCTTTGTAACTTCTTTCAAATAAAACATTTGAAATACCATCAAAGGTAGTTTTTACCTTCAATAATATAACTAATTATCAAGAATCTCTTCTAATGTCATGATATTAAACACATTGTAATTCACCATCTATTTGAAGAAGAATATGTAATTCTTAATGATATTCATCTCTATTATTTTGTCTTCAAGATTGTGACAATTTCAATATTTCATCTGATAACATATTGAACAATGGTTCTTCAATTGAATCTGCTGATTATTGATTTTCTATCTTTTTAATACTAAAAATATAAAAAATAATAAACATAGATAGAAGATAGGATGCAACTTCTATTGAATTTTGTTTCCTTTATATCAAGAAATTTCTTAATTTATCATCTTGATTTTGATGAATATTATCAATAAAAGATATTAACCTTTTTTGTTGCATTTACAAGATTATTGGCTTGCTTCAATGTACATTCATTAATATTATAAGTACATCAATATACAAGATATTTGAACCTATTATGGCATCATCTTCAATCCAAGACTTCTTTAACTTCAAATTCTTGATTATTATCCATTTTTATAAGAAAAGATGGCATTTGACTTTTCAATACATATATTATCTTATATGGCTCAAGAGGAGATATGTCAAATATAGAATGGATCTTCATAGATTTTAATAGGTGTAATCAATATGCATCTACATTGATTTGTTTATATATAAGAAATAGTCTAAATTTATAATAATTTAATTTATCACAATGGCAATTAGTCTTAATATTCTAACAAAATAATCATATCTTATTTTTAGTGTGAAATTGAGATTGTTCCTTGCAATAGATATTTACGTCAATGTTTTTTATTTAAAAATTCTTTAGAATAATACCTTTATTATTGCATGTATCTTTGATAAATAATTTGTTAGATCTTTTGTTATAGGATTATTAATTTTTGTAAAGTCAAAAATATCAAATTACAAATAATAATTATAATTAGTATAAAAAGATGCTTATTGAGTACAAAAATATATTATGTTATTATGGATAAATTTTGTAAATTATAAAAAATTTATACCATCATTTTAATATTAGGTAAAAGTATTCTTCAAATATTAATCCAAAATTTGATTCACATGTTTTGTTTGACTTTAAATTTGAGGATAGAAAGTCAAAGATAATTTTATGACCATCTTCAATATTTTAAAAAAGATTCTTTAAAACCTTAATATAAATTAAGTTTTTTTTTTATCTAACATAATATTTTTTTAATAATCCATAATAGCAATAAATATCATGAAAGAAAAATTTGATTATTTTTTTACCTATGATAATTTTTGTATATCATAAAAAATATGTCATCTTGATGAAACATTATACTATCAAAAATATAGAGCTACAAGAACTTGAGATTGAAAGATTTGTGATAGAATTGATAGAAATAAAAGACCATGATCATTTTGGTATAAATAGTGGTTGTTTGTAAAATTGATAACATGGAATTTTTGATCTATAACAAAAATCATATGATTGTAAAAAGTCTTTAATTTCCTTCTATATTTGAAGCTACTAAAAATCTTTTGCTATTAATTCTAAAATCTTGTTGTATCTAAAATATCTTGTAGCTCAAAAATTATGATAAGATTACAAAGCATGAATTTGTACTTAATCTTATGAAATTCATAATTACCTTTCAAAATAGAGTAGATT